TGCATGTTTAGTCTTTTCTGGTCCAGGGTCAACTTGTACCTTAAACCAAAGAAAGAAACAAAAACATTAAGACTCCACCAAGATCAAATAAAGTCTGTGTCATTTCAGTGAGACAAGCACAAAACGATAGAGGTTTGATGCATGTCAACACAGCATCATTTTGACTAATACTTAAACCATCTAACATAGCGGTTACAAACAATAACATTTTTTCCTCACCGGTTTATTTTTTTCTTTATCTGCATTCTCATTCTCTAATTTTTCCAGCCGACGTCTCTCCTTCTGTCTCTATTATAGTTCAGAAAAATATAGCTTAACAATTTTCATACTTGTTTTTCAGATAAAAATACTTATGTATGCCCTCACCATCTTTTTCTGTTTTTTCTTCTCTGCCTTTTTCTTAAGTTTTTCTTCTTCATCCACTAGCTCTTTTGCATTTCTTTCTGCTTCCTAAAATAAAGTTACATAATAATTGTAAAAAAAATCCTATAGAACAAAATAATGATCAAATCACAGGTGTTTGACACAAACCTCAACTGATATGTGTTTGGATGGTTTTGGCAGACCTCTTTCAAGGAAGTTGTGAGAAAAGCCACAGTATCTATTGTTTGTACGGATGGCATACTTGTCGTCGTCGTCGTCATCATCGTCGTCATCATCATCATCATAATCATCATAATCCTCATCAGATGAACCTTCATACCCAGTAAACTGAGCTGCAAAGCGGTCCAATTCTGGAACTTTAATATAAAAAAAATTTGCATAAATATCACAAAAACTTAACTGCAAATATTATATTGTGATCCAGTTAATATTCTTTTACCTTGAAGTAGTTCACCTAGAAATAGAAAAATTGCTGAAAATCTACTAACCCTCAGTCCATCCAAAAAGTTTGTGTCTTTGATTTGAAGTAATTTAGCATTACATAATTTGCTCACCAGTGGATCCTTTGCAGTGAATGGGTGCCATCAGAATGACAGCTGATAAAAACATCCCAATAATCCACACAACTCTAGCCCATCAATTAACATCTTGTGAACAGAAAAGCTACATGTTTGTAAGAAACAAATACATTGAGTCTATAATCCATAAGGCTTCCTCCATTAAAAAATAAGTCCATCCCCTACTGTACTCTTGTTGTAGAATATCTTAAAAAATCTTAAATTAAGGAGTTCCGTATGCCAAAAATCAGACCTTATTGGTCAAGACAACAAAGCTGAGATGCCTGCAGAGCCTCTAATAATCTCAAATTTAGCTCTTCTCTTATACATTTCATAACCAATGTACTCAATCACAAGTGATCTCCTCCTTTTCTTTTTTGGCTCATCCCCAAACTGTCGAAACAAATATTTCCCTATCCTGTTGATTTCTTTTTAATGGTAGTGCACTTACAGTTAGTTTATCTTTAAATGTGTTCTTTAAAGAGAACACAGCATCTAGATGTGGTGAAGACGACTTGCTGAAGTTCAAACCGAGCATCAGAATGGGGAAGAAAGGGGATTTAAGTGACTTTGAACGTGGAATGGTTGTTGGTGCCAGACGGGCTGGTCTGAGTATTTCAAAAACTGCTGATCTACTGGGATTTTCACGCACAACCATCTCTAGGGTTTACAGAGAATGGTCCGAAAGAGAGAAAATATCCAGTGAGCGGCAGTTGTGTGGACAAAAATGCCTTGATGTCAGAGGAGAATGGGCAGACTGGTTAGAGATGATCGAAAGGCAACAGTAACTCAAATAACCACTCGTTACAACCAAGGTATGCAGAATCCCTTCC